GGTGGTGGTGTGTGTGTGTGTGGGGGGGGGGGGGAATCGTCCTACCTTCGCAGCCTGGACTAAGATAAGGATTGCCCTCATAACCTTCATTACAGCTGCAGCGGTAGCCACCAAGCCCAGTGTCTGAATCAACACACTCGCTATTTTCCCTGCAAGCATAATCCTTGCTTTTCCGAGCTTCAATGCACGTAAGATTGCCAATTGCCCAGTCAAGCACAATGGGGACACTAGCCATAGTCCTCCTATAAAAGGTCATATCACTTAAATCTTGTACGCCACGGAAATGAAATCGATCTGCTTCGCCTAGAAATGCATACCAACATTGATTAAATTGCGAAACATCCGTGTGGTTTCGACTACTAGAAATGGTTGGGTCAAAGTATTTCAAGCCCTTGGGTATCTGTACTTGATAACAGCCATTGCCCATACATTCTCCTTCAGTCACATCCCTTGACAAGTTACATCTAGTAGAGCAGTTATATTCAAAGTTACGCCCCGTGATTATAGCGTTGTCGTCGCAACCAACGACGATAAACCTGTTCAGCTCAGAGAAACTATATGGATAAGTTGAGTTTGTTGGGGCTTTTTATGTATTTAATTAATATATTAAATACTTAAAAGAGGGTGAATGGGAAATGGAGGGAAATGAAATTTTTGAGTGAAATTTTAAGTTTCCCCCATTGGTAAATGGACATTGTCCCATATTGGAAGAGGAAGAGGTTTTCTATGGGTATATAAGCAATTGCTCTTCTTCTAGCTCTTAAAGAGTTGAGAAGAAGGCAAGCCTCGCGCCGCCGTCGTCGTCGCTCGCTCGGCTCGGCTTCGGCTTCGGCTTCGGCTACGGCTTCGGCTTCGGCTTCGGCTTCGGATTCGGATTCGGATTCGGATTCGGATTTGGTCAAATGATCGATTGATTGATTAACTTTTTGGACCAAATTTATTTGTTAATAGTAAAATATTAACAGAAATGTTATTAAATATTTATTTTAATATTAAATATTAATATTAAATCCAATTCGTTTTTCTGTTTTGGTAACAAAAAAGTAACTACCCTCTTCAATTTTCCCTCTTTATTGTTGAGTAAATGGCCTTTTATGTAATGGCATTTATGTTGTGGCTGTTTTGCATAAACAGCCATTCTGAAGAGTTGCACCTCTTCAGATTTCAGCCCAACTTTGGCTATAAATACAACAGTATTCTGCTCAGAATTTCACTACGATTTTATGAGTTTCTCCTCCTTCTTCTGCATACTTTTAGCATCAAACAAAGCAATAGTAAGTGTGATTTGCTACCGAACTTTGTGTTCGCTGAAACACTGGGGTTTGAAGTACCACTACACCAGTGTGTAATTCGTTCTATCCTGGGAGGAAATAATCCATAACCTTGGGTACTAGGAGGGGATTAAATTCCTTAAGGAAACACTGTGAATTCAGTGGGCTCGAATTGGTTTTCTGTTATTTCGTTGTTCAATTCTGTTTATGTTCATTTCTGTTTATGTTCATTTATATTTCCAGAATTATTTTACAAATACAGTATACTAACAAACTTTGTGACAAATATCTCCTTCAGGGAGAAACGCCATTAATATCTGAATATTTTATATCAAAGCGGTAACCACATAGTCATTACATCCTTCAGGGAGAGACACATGAGTTGTTATTTCGGGGAACTCGATAACTAACCATAGCATATTAATGTGGTTGTAGTAGAAAGCATTCTACAAGAATACTTTTGCCTTGGAATGATATTTAATAAAAAAATTCAAGATATTTTACGTACAACAGGTACGTGTGACAATGATCTTTATGCCACAAAAATAAGATTTATATCCTTTGTTATTCTACCTCTTCAGGAGGTGAGTTGTGGTATTTCTTCATTCACTCCAGGGAATGAAATGTGCTTCAAAAATAACTTTGAATAGCTTATTATTTTATTTAAGCACAGAAAGACACAGTTTCATAATATTTTTCTGGTTCAGGAGAAAATTTCAATTGTGTTACTTCTTCAGGAGCAAATTTAAAATACGAAATATTGAGTATATATTCCCTCAATCATATTACCTCTTCTGGAGGTGAATTGTAATATATTCACATCAAAAGCGCGTTCATATTTACGAGCTTTATTAATATTGTCACATTCACTTCAAGAATGAATTAATATTTATCAAAAGTTCTCATCCTTCAGGGAATGGAACATAATTATTTGAACGTGCATTAATCACACCAAATTGTGTGACGGCTTAGAACCTCTTTTAAGATATTGCTACTTTAGGAGCAAACCGAGGCATGCAAGTAATATAGAGAAATTGTCTCTAGCTCATCTTCAATTGTAACCATAGAAAGTCTAAATTATCACTCCTGGTGGTTATAGGCATATACTACTTCTGGTGGTTAACAAAATTTAGTTACAATGAGATATACAAAATATATCCACTTCTGGTGGTTATATATTTCTTGCAAACTCTGTTGGAGTTTAAGTGGATCTAACAATGTTATCCACTTTATAATCCTTTATTAAGATAATTAGGATGACGAAAATAAATACCAAAATAGGTACTGTATACGTAGCATATAACCAAGCAAGCGATGATAAAGATATTAAACCAAATATAAGCAAAAGACTCAAGTTACTTTATACAAATTTGGCCACTCCAGACGTAAGTGATATCCACATCTCTACCGCTAAGAAGAAAAGCTCACCACCTCAAGGGTATAATCTGTCTTATGATGCTCGGAATGAACAAGATCTAACCACGGATGTAAGAGCGTCGCCTTACATCGGAGATGAACACTGAAATAGAAATTAAATTCGAAGTAAGTGCTCAAAATGGCAGAGTCTCGTGCTGATAACGTGTTATAAAATAAAGACTTTAAAGTAAAGAAACCGAAGACAAGTATAGAGAGAGAGATATTTATTATTCAACTTCAAATTCATGTACATAATAAACTGAAATCTCCTCTATTTATAGAAGAAAGCAAGCTGTTGTGTAAGCTGCTACTGCAAGTTGCTGTGCAAGCTGCTAATGTACCATATATAGATAATCTTCAACTGGGGTAATGTTTATCCATAACGGAGTACCGAAAGGATAAGCTTATTGTATCACGTATGGATAATCTTCTACCGGGGGTAATGTTTATCCATAACGGAGTATCGAAAGGATAAGCTTATTGTACCCGGTATGGATAATCTTCTACCGGGGGTAATGTTTATCCATAACGGAGTATCGAAAGGATAAGCTTATTGTACCCGATATGGATAATCTTCTACCGTGGGTAATGTTTATCCATAACCGAGTACCGAAGTGATAAGCTTCTTCAGGAGGCTTATTTCCAATAGAGTACTAAATAGATAAATATATTTACGGCGGAGTCCCATATGGATAAACTTCTTCAAAAAACTTATTTACAATGTAGTACTAAATGAACATTCATAATATAATATATATTTATAACAGACCCTCATTTTCTTTTCTTTTTTTCCTTAATAAAAATAAAAGAGCGGGGAGAAAACATAATAAGGTTTAAAAAGAGATCCTACTTTGTAAAATTTAGAAAGTAAACGATTATTCCAGAACGATCGAGCAATCCGTGCCTTCGCGACCCAAAATGGGTCGAGACTCCAGACTCACACTCATAACGATAATTCCCAGTATTATCTAAAACTTTCACGATTCCTCCACATCCTTCTCTCTTCCCCTTATAAATACACCCTTCTATTGCACAACATAAGCAACAAGACTAATCCATAAAAAAAATATCCTGTGATCGAGCTTTCTTTCTGGATTTGTTTTTAGTTTTATAATGGCTTGCAAAACCCTTACATGTTCAGCAGCTTCTCCTTTAGTATCAAATGTTTTTAATGTGAGTACAACGTCCTCTAGGAGTAACAACAGGATAACTGCACCTTGCTCTGTTTTCTTTCCATCTGCATGCAACGTAAAGAAACCAGCGTCTAGGCTTGTAGCTCAGGCAACTGGAGATAACAAAGATACTTCAGTGGACGTGCATGTCAGCAGCGGTCAAGGAGGAAACAACAACCAAGGCAGTACTTCTGTCGAACGCCGTCCTAGGAAGATGGCTCTTGATGTCTCCCCTTTCGGTATGTCTCGTTTAGCTACTATACCATTTAGGACTATTATTTAATTAAATTTATTTCCTTTTTGGTCCGTGACTCCTTTTTAAATTTGATAACAATTTAGCTTAAACTTATAATTCTACCCTTAATGAGAAGCTCTTATAATCACACAAATACTCTGGGTCCCTTTTTAACTTGTTTAGGATCACAAATTTCAAAAGTCTTTATTTTTTCTTAAATTTGGTGTCTAGTCAAATAGGTTCGCGTAAATTGGAACGGAGGGAGTATCTGCTTTAACTATTTAAAGAATTTGATACTATAATATCAGTGCCTTTAAATTCGTTGTTGTACGTTATTTGTGTAATAGGAATATAACTAATCGATTCAACAAAAACTCATCACTAAAAGACTCTGTTTAGCACTAAAACTATGAAGGCCGAACCCATCAAAATGTTTTATTTTTAACCCATCGAGTTCTCGTCTTTAATATTCTTAGATGATGTGGAAGTGAAAATTCTTTTCGCAATGTTAGTACTATATATAGTTACTGGTTAAATTCAATTCCAGTAGGTTTTTACTTGTGAATCAAGATAGTTGGTAGTGGTTGATGGTAGAGTAGCATCTGATTAAGCTCTGCTCCATTAGTTGACATTAGGATTTTCTTTATTCATGTGATAAACAGGATTGTTAGACCCAATGTCTCCGATGAGAACAATGCAACAGATGATGGACACTATGGACAGACTGTTTGAGGATACCATGACATTCCCAGGAAGGAACAGGGCAACAACAGGGGAAATACGTGCTCCTTGGGACATCAAAGACGACGAAAATGAAATCAAGATGCGTTTTGACATGCCCGGGCTCTCTAAAGAAGATGTGAAAGTATCTGTGGAAGATGATGTGCTTGTCATCAAAGGCGAACACAAAAAGGAAGAAAGTGGAGATGAGAGCTCTTGGGGCAGGAATTACAGCTCCTACGATACTCGTTTAAGTCTTCCAGATAATGTTGAGAAAGATAAAATTAAAGCAGAACTGAAGAATGGAGTCCTTGTCATCTCGATTCCCAAGACCAAAGTTGAGAAGAAGGTGATTGACGTGCAAATCAACTAAAAAGCTCGTGGTTTTTGGTTATGATTTACTCGTTCTTGCTTCTGTTGTAACTCTCTGTAAATGAATATAAATAGGAGCATAGTTTGAGCTACGGTGTTCTCAAAATCATTTTAAGTCCAATCATAGTTTTCCAAATCTACAATGGGCTGAAAAGCAAATATTAAATTATACATACTGCAATACATAAAAAGGATTTTGCATCTCTTCATTTACCTAGGTGAAGTAATAGGCGTGAAGGAAAACGATCAGTCAGTACTGGTACTCGAGGCATTGCCTAGAGAAACATGATCCCAGGGAATTACCTCAGAATTTACAAGAGCAAAATACAGGATCACAAACCAACGAGATAGAGGAATATCGCGGAACTCACTGAAGAAAGTTACCATTAGGACATCAATCAGTACAGGTGCTCGGGGCATTGCCTAGAGAGACAGTATAGCAGACTTAAATTACATCAACATAAGCACTCATAAACCTCTGCCAACAGTACAAGCTTAAGAACAAGTATCCTGTAGGTGAGAGACGCTTAGCTGAGTAATGAGAATAAACTAAATGACAAAAGCCATGAGGTGCTTAGTGATATCTGCATCTACGTATGTATTTAGATATAAGATCAGCTGAGGAATGCAAAGTGATTTATCACTGCACTGCAGGACGAGGAGCACGTGGTCGAACAGGAGTCTTTGATGGGCTTACTCTGCAGTATATGGAAAAAAGTATTAATGGATATGTCAGTGAAATAGAGAAGAAACATCAGCAGGATTGGCAGTACTAGAAACATAGAGCAACCTTATAGGGAGTGATCCCAGGATTGCACCACTGCAGTTCAGTGCAGCAATGGCACTCTCAGCCTGCAACAACCAGAAAATTCATCATGAGACAATGTAAGCATCATAGCCATGACACGCCACGTGCTTAAATATATTACATTACATCACAGGGAGTCCAATAAGTTTTGGGACCAATTATTGAGATCATTAAATTCAAAGCAAATGCATGTTATTCTAGAAAACATGTATGCGATATCTGCCCTGAAGGTAAGCAACAGTCTGGAAATGCTATCCGGCTGAAGACAACAAAGATAGGAAAGAATAATAGGTTAAGACAAAAGATTGTCGACACCCTCAAAGTCTCTCATTGCCACAGCTAGAAGTGTCCTTCGGAGAAATTGCACCTACAACTAATCACTAGGAGGAGGTAAATAGAAGTGTGACACCCTCCTATACAAGAACAGAAAGTGTGATACTCTAGAGATCCCATGTTTGACTTGTGGCACTGGCACCTTAAAACATAAATTCCACGTGTGTTAAGGCAACAGGAAACAGCTTTGAAATGACTCAACGAAAACTGAATGCAGATTGCACCAGAAATCTAGAGAGAGTGCCCGTGAGGAAGTTCAAATCCAGAACCTCCACCAAAAGACTAACAGAAGCTCTTTTATAGTTCCCCATATCATTGTCAACAAATGTTGTGGATGAAGCGATAGCATGCTAGTTGAGAGCAACCAAGGAACAGAAAAATTATAAGATATCCTCATGCAAGTATATTGAAGATACTTTGTCATGAGAACCAGATTTCACACGACATTTTGGGTGCTAAAGTAGTAGTACTTTCTCCAATCTGAAGATTGCTTGGATGATAAAGCTGGTCTACTTTTTACAAAGTATCTCACATAGGAGTATCAAGTATAAAGCACTTCCCTTCTAGCTTCATTTGAGGGATCAGGACATACAGAATCCACATAGTAAAAGTTGTAAGGGTTCCCATCAAAGCAATAGCCATAAACGTATATCATAGCCATGACCCACACTGAAAGCAACAGCTAAAACATTGGTCACTGAGAGATGCAAGAACAGCCTGAGCAGAGGAGTCTCAGAAACACCGAGATCGCACTTTTAATTACCCCTCATTACTGCGAATTCCTAATAATCTACTGGCATGTACTCATTAGCTGCCAACTATACCACATGCCTATTGAACTGATCAAAACGACATCACAGGCAACTTCTTTTTTCCTGCTGTCTAGAACCACTTTATAAGTGATTAATATTGTATATAGTGTCTTCGGGTTTCTTCATAAAGTAATGATATCTTAATTTATAAAACAAACATCCACCTTCTTCAAATCTGGTGATTTTGAGACTTTCGATTTGTTACTAAAATATAGAAAGGCAAAAAGACCTGATATCCATCCTAGTTAAGAAATTAAGGGTCCTTTGCTAACATATTAGTTATGCAAGAATTTTTAATACAAGGATTGTTATGGCAGTGGAAAAAAATGTAAAGATTGTTATCCTGCCAATAACTTAATAAATAATTATTTTGCGTCACTAAATATGTAAGAATTATTATATGGTATATGATGGAAAGGAGGGTTGACTACTTTAAGGGCATGTCGATACTCTTGTAGAGATAATATTGCTATTAAACGTATTCTTATTCGACATTTTATCCCACAGAAGATATTACATTGGTTCCTACAGAAGTTATGCCGGTATTAGTAGTGCATAATTAAATACCTGGAATCAAACATTGAATCAATTATAAATATTAACTAGAAACCAAATATTGTACTAGTTATGCACGGTTACATTAGTAATGCATAGATTTACTTATACTTTATATGTATTAGTTATACAGAACTTTATATTGGAATTGTTTTTTCTTTTTTGGCCGGCCAAAGGACCACTCTCCTTCCAGCAGTAATTCAATCTACACCACTAAATACCAGACATTTATACTGAACACAAGTAGGTACCATATCCTATATTTTCATCACTCTACTACTCTAACAAAGCAGCAACCAATGAAAAGCAAACACATTAGCTATATTCACAATGAAACACAAGCACATTAGAACTAAGTCACTGACCTGCAGATGATGGACCTTTCTCATATTATTACTAGAGAGAAAGTAACGCTCACATGGCTCATGTTATGTAGTTAAAAAGATTAGCATTACTTTCTCATGGCAAAGACAGAAATCAACATCAGCTTAGACTCGCATTCCAGCAAGCAAGAGGAGAAAAACTTTGAATCAAACTTCAGTTTATGTGAATATTATACAAAATTCACAGGAGTGGTCACACTTCTACCGAGAACTTTCTTCAGCCACATGAACTTATCCAAAAGGGACCAAAAACCAATGTTTTTACACTTGAAAGGTAAAAGAATCAAATAACATCATATAAATGCTAAACTACAAGCATTAATAGTGAAAGACAAAAGCTCATGGGAGTTACCATAACAAACTCGACAAAAGCTATACGAGTGGAATAACGATAGTCACCAAGCAACCTCAAGCACTTAACCTGTGTTAGAGAAGGAAACGGCTCAGAGTAAGGACCTTGACTTGGACAAACACTTTCAGACAAGTCAGGTGAGAAGCTACAAACCTCTCCACAAAAGGACTCAAAGAAGAGCCTGACATCTCCTTGAGTAACCTACTTCATACAAATGAACAAGTCATAAAGCATTTATCCCCATAGAAGCTCTTCAACCATGTAAAGCAGGGATTACAAACTCAAAATTACCTTTGTATCAATGTTTGTACAGTATATAGTTCTTGCACACATCTCCCTTTCATCTTCGGACTACATATCCACGCCAAAGGTAAATAACACAGTATTAGCAACACTGGGTATCGATTCGTCACCTCAACAGCAATTTTGCAAAAGGGAAGTACCAAGAGTATACACATTTTCTCACCCTTGGAAGAAATTTTGGATTAACTGGTGCAATTGCAGTTTTAGAGGGAAGCACTCTCACAGGGTAAAACCCTAGCACAGTTCCTGCAAGGCTCAAGGCATTCCTTGCTCCTTCTGCACACCATACGTGGGACAATGCCACTGTTAGACAACAAGATTTTAACCAAAAAATGTCAAACCAAAGATTATGGTTCAAGATACCTTCATCAATAAATTCAATAAAGGCGAAACGGAGTAAAGAATTGGGGTCTCCACATATGCGACAGTCAACCACCTTCAGCACATTAAGGTTAGTCAGGTTATGGCAACAAAAGATTTTAACATATTAATAAGTCCAACAAAATATGACCAAACGAGAAACATCTTCACCTGCCCACAAGCAAGAAAGAGTGTAGCAAGTTGCTCCTCAGTCACCTACATATAATAAGAAAAATTAGTCTCCAGGGAGAAAAGATGAAGGTAAAATAACTAAATAAGATAATGAACAAGTACCCATTTTTTTTAGTACCTGGTGATCAATGTCAGACACATAAACAGTCCTCCTTATAACCTCTTCGCGCTGGGCCATAGTTGTCCGGCCATTCATCCTTCTCCTACCATGACCATAGCCATTTCTCTTCTGCCAGTCCATTTCAACCCGAATTGTTAGCCATGACCCTCAAGACAGTGATCCATTACAAAACAAGGTTTGAAAAGGTGACTGAGAATAGACTTGTAACATCCTCCTTTCTAGACCTTAATGACTACACCATCCTCTCATTTTTATGTTATTGCATGATATATACCAACTACTATGATATTTCCTAGTACTATAAGTTATATATAACATACATAAACTGGAGAACCTAACACTTGCATAGGCACAGTTTTTTCTAGTAGCTACAAAATAAATAAATTAGTTACCCTTATGTTGGAAATTCCATTGCCACTGAGTCCAGCTTGCACAGCAAGATTGAAAGCATCAAACCCAAATTGTTCTCCACCGGGAAGGAATGGCACTACTCCACCGTAGTTGTCTGAAGAGAGGGAGGGGGGAACAAACTCTGCAGCCATGGGGTTCAGTTTGGAGAACATTTCCTCCAAATCCCTCATCTCCCTGCTGGTGTTAAACCCTTCCTCATCAACACCGTTCATTTTCTTATGCTGAAGATTATGGTGATGACTCAGCACTCCATTGTCGTTGATTCTTTGTTGTTGCTGTTGAAATACATCCATTTGAGGCTTATGGACAGTGGTTTTCATCTGAAGATTCTGATCAATCGGTAACGTTGACCGTGGCACGCCGTTCTGATTTGACTGATGATCGACGGCAGCAGAATCATTGCCGTCCGTCCGATTCAAAGACCCGTTCTCACCCACGGCCATGATTGTTCCTTCTTTCAGCAACTATGTGCCCAAAGACTGGTCCTTTTTTCTCCTTCTTCTTTAAACCTTTCTTTCCCAATTTGGGTTCTGTGAAAAAGCAACACGGAAAAGAAAAAGATCAGTCCTTTCATTCCTAATTTTATCAAGCTGGAGTTTTAATATCATAATTTCCACCAAACAGAATTATCAGAAAAAGAAAAATGGAAATCGATATTTCGTACCTGCTGGGTCTAGAGGGTGTCCATTAATCAAAAGACAAAAAACCCAAACTCAAAGATTGGTGAGCTGGGGGAAATTAAGAACAAGAGCAAAACTTTTAAGAGTGATGTATTATTTTACTGAATCTGTCTGCCGAAATAAAGAGAAGAGAAGTAGGGAGTAAAAAAGAAAGAAGAAACTTAAGAATAGCACAAATTCGTGCAAATCTTCCAAAAAAGGTATAAACTTTTCCAAATGACGGAGCACTCCCAAACACCATGTACAAAATAATATGTTTAAAGTAGGAGTACTAAAATGCATTGGTGGTACTAGGTAGATATCGTACCCTTTGTTAGAAAATTACACAATATAAATAGCATAGAAATAATTTTATTTGGTTATATGATTTGTTGAATAATCTTGATATGTTAAAAAAATCAAGTATAATAGTAAAGGAGGTTCAAAATATTTTAGCTCAAGGTTCAAATTCCAACGGTGACATCTTAGGACTTATTCCTTGTATAAACTTTGGGTTCCACCACTATTAAAATGATGCATATATGTAAGTACCAACAGAGGCGTATCCAGGTTTATGGATATGGGTTCACGTGAACCCATACTCCTCCCTCAAAATCTTTTATAACAATGTTATATTTCTTTAAAATTACTTAAATATATGTGCGTGAACCCATGCTCAAAGGCTCATATGGTGCAATTATTATCGGGTGCACCTCTACAAGTGAAATTGTCGGTTCAAATTCCACTTTGAACGGTCTTGGTTTCGGCACGAAGTATAGATATATATGTGAAAATTACTAAAATTTCATAAAGAATATAATTTTGAACCTATAATTTCAAAAGTTTAGTGGCTTCATGGTAAGAGACTAAAGTTAAACCCGTCAAATATAAATTCTAGATGCACTTCTTCACAATAGTGCATCCATACTCTTGAAATCCTGGATCCGCCTCTGAGTACAAAACAGTCCTACTTGTCACCACATGATGATTATAATAGTTTTTCACAGGAAAAACGTGGTTTAAAGTAAATATCCATGGGAACAAATTACTACGCATTTACAGATTTTGAAATTTCCATATTAGTAAACATGTAAGCAAAGTGGGGGAAAAATGAATATGGTCGCAGATCAAGAACGGAACTGACGGGAAGCAATATGTACAACCGCCTCTTTTTATTTCTTAGTAATATATTGTTGGTGACACCAGTTCGTAACTCTTTCATAATTAACTATAAGTTAGCCTTTTTGACTTCTAAAAAAAGGTAAGTGAAAATGAAAGGGTCCTGAAATGTACATGTCACAATTGATAAATCAATCTGGACTAAAGAATGAATAATTTTCAATAATCCCATGACCTTTTGATTTTGAGAAACATTAACTTTTTCATCTTCTTAATGTGATAGATAATCCGTGTTCAAATTTTCCAAATGGTTCCAAAATTATATTTATATCACATAAAAGTTATTATTAACTTAATTGCAGTTTTTATTGCTTAAAATATCTAATAAGAAAAAGATTAAGAAATAAATAAATGTCTGTCACTCTTTTCTTCTTGTTTTCCTTTTTAGCTATAGTAGGTTCGCCAACGTTAAGAATCTGACCAAATATCACCCTAACCAAAACAAAATTCCGAAAGTGCGTCACCATTTTTTTTCTTTTTCCAAGAGAGAGGATTACTAGATAAAATACGAATTTAGACTAAGATTCTGAAGTCAAATGCTCCATTCCCGTCGCATATAAAGGTATACTTAACCTAATAAATTTTAGGATTACATTAAAACAAACCACCTACCACATGAACTTCAGGATCACATTAACACTGCAGCCACTAGCGATCAATTTAGTACAATCTCCCTATATATAGCAGAGGTTAAATTACACAACCAGTCACTGGTCACATTTATTAAAGAAAGGCATGAAAAACAAACTCAAAGAAAAAGAAGAGGTTCATCGTCATTCCGCTCCATCACTTACTGGTGGTATAACTAAAAATACACAGCCCCAGCGAACTACCTCAGATATATATAAGAGGAGCAAAACACAGATCAATTGGGGTAGAGGAATATCGCAGAACTCGTTGATCAAAGTCACTGCTAGAACATCAGTCACATCAGTACTCGAGACACTGCCTAGAGAAACATAAATATACCAGACTTAATTTACATCAACATAAGCACTCATATGAACCAGCCAACGGTACAAGCTCAAAAACAGTATCCTATGGATGAGAGATGCCCTGCTGAGTAATGTGAATAAACTAAAAGACAAATGCCACAAGGAACTCGGTGGTATCTGTATCTACGTATGTATTTAGATATAAGATCAGCTGAGGGATGCAAAGTGATTTGTCACTACACTGCAGGGCGAGGAGCACGTGGTCGAACAGGAGTCTTTGATGGGCTTACTCTGCAGTATGCAAAAAAGTTTAAGATTAATGGATATTCAGTAAAATAGAGAAGAAGCATCAGCAGGATTTTGCACTGGAAACATGAGAGCAACCTTATAGGGAGTGACCCCAGGATTGCACCACTGCAGTTCAGAGCAGCAATGGCACTCTCAGCCTGCAACAACCAGAAAAATCATCATGAAACTACACAAACAACATAACCATGAAATGCCCAGTGCTAAATTTCCTTCAAGGGAGAGGGGAACAAATATAATAAGCAGTTGAGGAATTCAAAATTTTCTACTTTGAATTTCCTCAAATATGCATAACATTACCAATTATTGAGATCATAAATGCAAGACCAAGCAAACTAATCTCAAGTAAAACGTCAAGCGAGAAAAATTCACACCATGCATGTTCCATGAAAGTAAGCAATAGAGTCTGGAAATACATCTAGTTGAAGACAATATAAGGTTAAGTCTGACATCGACAAAGTTTGTCATTGCCACAGCTAGAAGTGTCCTCCGTAAAAATTGTACCTACAACTAATCACAAGGAGGAGGTAAACAGAAGTGTGGCATTCTCCTACCCAAAAGCAGAAAGTGTGATACTCTACGAATCCCTGTCTGACTTACAAAGCTGGCACCTTTAAACATAAATTCCACATGTGTTGCAGATTGCATCCACAATCTAGAGAGTGTACCATGAGGAAGTTCAAATCTAGAACCTCCACCAAAGACTAATAGAATCTCTTTTTATAATTCCTTATATCCATTCTCAATGAATGCCAGTGGATGAAGAAATAGCATGCTAGTTGAAAGTAACTGAGGAACAGAGAAATTCTCAGATATCCTGATGCAAGCATATTGAAGAATCTTTGTCGTGGAAACCAGACTTAACGACATAATAGGTACTAAATTAGTAGTACTTCTCTCCAATGTGAAGATTACTTGGATGGTAAAGCTGATCTACTTTTTATAATAGTATCTCACGGAGGAGTATTAAGTATAAAGAACTTCCCTTCCAGCTTCATTTAAGTGATACAGAGTAAAAGTTGCAAGGACTCCCATCAAAGCAACAGCCATAAACATATAATATATCCAAGACCCCCACTCAAAGTAACAGCTCAAAAGCTGGTCACTGGGAGATGAAAGAAAAGCCCGAGCTGGGCAGCCTCAAAAACACCGAGATCGCAATTCTATCTACCCCACATTACTGTGAATTCCTAATAATCTACTGGTGTGTACTCATTAGCTGCCAAACACACCACATGCCTGTTGAACTGATCAAACTGACAACATAGGCAACTTTTTTCCTGCTGTCAAGGAACCATTAGTGATTATTTTTTCTTATAGTGTCTTCAGGTTTCTTCCATGAAGTAATCAACTTAACTTTTCAAAACAAACATCCAGTTTTTCGAAATGTAGTGATTCTGAGACTGTCCATTTGTTTCCCAGTAACTAAAAGATAGAAAGGCAAAAAGACCCCATACTCATCCCAGTTAAGGAATTAAGGGGTCCTTTGATCACAGATTACTTATGCAAGAATTACAATGAAATGATGTTATGCAGTGGATAATTATCAGTTATGTAAAGATTGATATCCCGCCAATAACATCTTAAAAATTACTATCCGGCCAATAATAATATCATAATAATGTAAAAATTATTATATGGTAAATGATAATAAATAGGGGTTGTCTACTTCAAAGGCATTTTGTAGATACTCTTATAGAGATATTGCTAATAAACATATTTTTATTCCACATTCCATCCCAGATAAAATAATACATAGATTACCGGCGAAGTTATGCCAGTATTAGTAATGTAGTACTTAATACTTCCTCCGCCTTAATTTATGTGTCTTAGTTTGACTAGGCACGAAGTTTAAGCAAAGTAAGAAAGACTTTTGAATCTTGTGGTCTTAAAGTAAAGATGTGTGCAACGTACCAAAATGTCCTTGAATCTAGTGGTCTTAAATATGCCATGTGAAATGTTGGAGTTAAAGAGTTACTAAATTTAGAAGGAGGCCTTCTTTTTTAAACAGACTAAAAAGGAAAATACGACACATAAATTGAAATGGACGGGCTACCTAAATCAAACATTGAATCAATTATGCTCACACTAGAAGCCAAAAAATTTATTAGTTATGCAGGGATTACATTAGTAATGAAGAGTTTTATTTATTTTATAGTCTATATGTATTAGTTATGCGGAACGTTATATTGGGATTGTTTTTTAAGCGGCTGACCAAAGGACCCCTCTCCTTCCAGCTGTAACTCAATCTACACAACTAAATACCTCAACCATGTATATTGAACAGCAAGGTGGTGCCATATCTCTATATTCGTCATCCACTCCACTACTCTAACAAATAAGCAACCAATAAAAATCAAGCACATCTGCTATACTGAAAAGAAGCACAAAGACATTAGCATCCACATCTAGAACTGACCTGCAGATGATATTGACCTTTTCACACCAAAGAGTTTCAACTGCAGTAAAGATTATTACCAGAGAGAAAGTAATGCTCACATGGGTCATGTTATATAGTTAAAAAGATTAGGATAAATTTCGGATGACAGAGATAGATATCAATACAAGCTTAGATTGGCATTCTAGCAAGCAAGGGGAGAAAAACTTTGAATCGAAATTCAGCTTATGTCAGCATTATCTCAAATTCACAGGAGTGGTTACATTACTACCAAGAACTTACATTGCCCGCATGAACTTACCCAAAAAGGACCAAAAACTGATATTTTTTCCACTTAGAATGTAAAAAAGTCAAATAACATCAAATTAATGCTAAATTACATGCATGGATAGTGAAAGACAAACACGCATTCTGAGCTAATATGAAACAGAAAATGGAAGCACTGCAAAATCCC